TATTGAAGAATTTTGCAAACCAAAAATAATATCCTCAGAATGCAAAGAAAAATAGCTGAAAGTAAAAGAAATCAATATAAACAGTATTTTATTCGTTTTGTGTTTACCTGTTAGACCTAATTAATTTTAGAATGTTTTAAAGTATTGCATTTGTGATGTATTTTAATATGTGATATGATGAGGCTGTTGACGAACTGTGGTTGTTTTTTTAAATTAATGAACATTTTTGTTAACTATCTGTTATTATAGAAATACTGATGATGGTGGAAAAATACACCGAAACATATTTTGATTAATAAATAAAGACAATAAATGACTGAAACCCAGGAATAGATTTGATTTTACTTTATAAGACAAGACAAGACTTTATAACAAATTTCGACATTAATGTTCTTATTTTTTTTCAGACTGAAAATCTGCGTAATTATAAACGACTTTTTCGCATTTCCATAATAATAACTTTTCCCCAGTTTTTAAAAGCCATGGTCTAGAAGGGTGTCCTTATGAGGAAACGCCCTGTACTATACACATGGAGGGTTTGTGTTAAACCCCAAAAACTATGTACATATTTACACAAATTATTCCTTTGTAACAGACAGAGAGGAACAAATAGGGAATAAACCAGTTTGAAACAAAACGAAATGGAAATATTACCCGACCCCTCAGCCAGCTCTGCCCTTTAGGCCCCGCCCACCGTCACACCCACCGATTATCTACACGCCTCATCCGCCACTCCAGTCTCACGAGCCAAACCCTACTAGGTAGCCCACCAAGCACACTGTAATACCTGCCAGCTGGTCAGCTGCAAAGCGCTCAGCGCGGCTGCTGAGAGCGCTGGCCTGGCAGCTCATGTCCACCGGCGGCAGCTTCATAATGGGCACGTGCTGCTCGAGCGCTGAGTCCCAGCAGGTGCCCTGTCGCGTCGCCTCCTGAAGATTGCTGATGTGGTCGACTGAGGAGGTGCGCGGGTTGAAGTTCTCGCGCGACCAGCGACGCAACCAGTGCCCCAACCAAGCCAAGTGGCAGCCACAGCGAAACCGGTTCTTCGACAGCTCCAAACCACCTAGAAACAAACCCGGCAATCGAGAAATTGTGCCCACTTCATCTGCAACTTCAAGGCCAACAACTTACCAGAAACCAAGCCGGTCCCCACATCATCCCAGGTGGAGAAGTTCCCATAGAAAACCTCCGGAGTCAGCGTGGTGAGCATGTTATTGCTCAGATCCACGGCCAAGTGCTGGATCTGGTGCATGTGCGAAAACAGCCCGGCTGGGAGGTCAGCAATTTGCGTCCCACTGATCTTGATCATCAGCGTGGGATTCTTGGTCAGCTTGGCGAAAGCCTCCCGGTCCACAATCTGCAGATTCCGCCCCGCGATCTCCAGATGGACGATCTTTTTGTTGGCCAGACAAGTGAGCTGATCGCGCAGCTCGTGCTCGATGACGTTCAGCTTCAGGCGCCTCAACTGACCCATATGGGTGAACAAGTAGCACAGCTCCTCGTAGAAGTTCTGCAAGCTGGGAGACGTTTGCATGGACAACTCGGACAGGATCCTCAAGTGGCTGAAGGCCTTGCTGTCGAATTGTGCCAGCTGCTTCAGATGCTGGATGTTCAAAGTCTGCAGCGCCTTCAGCCCCTGGAAGCTCTCGACAGTGATGCCAGTGATCGGGTTGAAAGACAGATCCAGATCCCGCAGACTTCCCAAGAACGCCCACAGATGCGAGGGAACACTGCCCAAGTTGCAGTGGCTCAGAACCAGCGACTTCAGCTTCCCCAAGCCGCGAAACGAATGCTTGTCAATGTCTTGAAGATTGTTGAAGGAGAGATTCAAGTGCACCAAATCGGGCAAGGGGAAGTCGGGCGTGGTGTCCAGCCCAGTGTTGGCCAGGTTCAGGTGCTTCAAGTTCTGAGCGTAGTGGAACAGTTCCTTGAAGTTGGCCCTCAAAGGATTGGAGCTCAGATCCAAATACTGAAGCCAGCTCAGCTGGGTGAAGACGTTATCAGGCAGAATCGTCAGCTTGTTCCTACTCATATCCAGATGGTTCATAAAGGGGACATCTGGAAAGCTGGTGACGTCGATGTGTTCCAGAACGTTGGACTGAAGCGATAAGTGCCTCAGAGTCAAGCCAATGTCCGAGAGACTCTCCCTGGGCACCACAGAGAGGGAGTTATAGCTGATGTCCAGGAACTCCAGCTGCGTGTTGGAGAAAACCTCCCTGGGCAAGTAGGTGAGGCTGTTGCCCCTCAAATTCAAAACTCTCAGCTTGGGGGCGACGGAAAACTGCCCATTGTGCAGGTAGCTGATGGAGTTCTCCGACAGATCCAACGTTTGGAGGCTTTGCAGCCCGGAAAACGCCCCCAGGTCCAGATGGGCTAGCGCATTCTTGTGCAAACCCAGCTGCTCCAGGGCGGCCAGTTTGCTGAAGCTGTCCATCTTCAGGGCAACTAAGCTATTGGAATCCAGCACCAATTTCCTCAGCAACGGGCTCAGCTGCAGACACGGAGGAACAGCAGCCAGCTTGTTGCCGCGCAAATCCAGCTCTTCGAGATTTGCCATCACTTTGCTGCCCGTGCATGTGGTTAGCTGATTGAAGCTGCAGTTTACGCTCAATGGCGTGCTGAGGTTGGAGAAGTAACTCAGCGACAGCCTTGTCAGCTGGTTCCTCTGCAAATCCAGCCGCCTGAGCAAGGGCAAGTTGGAGAACGCCCCCTGCTGAATGGAAACCAGCTGATTGTTCCTCAAAAAAATCATCGAGGTTTTGGGCAGATCGGCAAAAGCGTCCTTTTGGATGTCGCGGATCTTGTTGCCGTCCAGCCAGATCACCTCCAGGCTCTCAAGCAGCTCAAAGGAGCCACTTTCCAGCACACTCAGCTCGTTGTTGGAGAGCACCGCAGTGCTCAGCTTCGTATGGATGGAAGGCTTGAATAAACTCACAGGCAGCGACTCGACTTTGTTCGAGTCCAGGTTCAAGTACTCGATGTCTCGAAGAGAATCGAAGGAGCTGGGCTTTATTTCATGGAAGCTGTTGTGGTCCAGATAGAGGTACTTGAGCTTGCTTAAGTCCTTGAAGGCCTCATAGGGCAAATCGTCCCGCTCAAAGCTGGAGGAGAGCTCCAAAGTCTCCAAGTTGGCAAGCCCGCCAAAGGCTTGCAGGTCCACATTCCTTAAGGGATTGTAGCTGATGCTCAGTTCCTTCAGTTTAGGCATTTCCATAAACACGTTGGCGCTCAGAGTGGTAATGCGGTTGTTGTTGATGTTGAGCACTTGCACTGAGCGCCCCCACTCGCTGAAATCCTCCAAAGAAATGCCGCTGATCTGGTTCGAAGCTGCGTTGAAGTAGGATATTTTCGAGCAGTTCCTCAGACCGTCCGAGGGAATTTTGTAAAATCGGTTGCCGCCCAATGAGAGGGCCTTTAGGCTCTCCCGGAAACTATCCAAATAACCCACCGGGAGGTCACTGAGGTAGTTGAAGGAGAGATAGAGGAATCTCAGCGCCAGCAGCTGCGTGATGGCCATGGGGATAGTTCTGAGCCGGTTATGATCCAGGTCCAGGTATTCGAGAGTGCTGAGCACTCCTTGGAAGGCGGCCTCTTCGATGTCGCCAATCTGATTGTAGGAGAAGACGATTCGGCGGCAGTCCAGGCCGGAAAAACTGTTGGCTGCCACCACTTCGAACTCGTTCATTGCTAGGAAAACATCGCGGACAAAGATGGAACCGTTGAAAGGTCTGGCTGGGAAAGTCGTGAGGTAGTTCTGGTTCAGGTCGATTTTCTGTATCCAGAACTTGCGTCCAAACGTGTGCTCAGGAATGGATCTGATGTGGTTTCCCCTTAGATAGAGCCACTCCAAGTGGGGCATGTTGGCGATGATATCCAGAGGAAAGTTCTCGATCAGATTGTAGGCGAAACTAGCGGTTTTAAGTGAGGAGGGCAGCGAGTGCTTGTGGATTTTGTGAATTCGGTTCGAGTCCGCATTGAGCCACGTCAAATACTTCAGCTGGCGAATGCCCGAATGGACGTTGTGAGGCGAGGTGTCCGCGATTTCCGTGATATCGTTGTGGCCAATAAAGAGCGTGTTGAGTGAGGATTTCATGTGGGACCAATCTCCGTTGATCGAGGCAATTTGGTTGCTGAAAAAATCCAACCCTAGTGAAAAGGTGGTTTGCAACCCGGCGAATGGGCGTACCCGTGCAAGTTGAGCCAATGCAGACTCTTCAGGTCTTTGAGAGTGGGGAACGGCACGACGTCCAAGCGGTTGTAGCTGAGGTCGAGCGACACCAACGTGTCCAATGAGGAACTGAAACAAGTTAGTTGGCTCAGGGGAGGGAGTGGGTAGCGAATATTTGCCTGACACAGTCAATGTGGACCTGGGTGGCACTGGTGGCGCGTTTGTGTTGATTTTTGAAGCCTTGCGGCGCAACACCGTGAACTCTACTTAACGGATGGCAGTAATCATGTGGTTTTTGGCGCTTTGTATTGAGGCCACAGGCCGTAATTAATGCGTCAACATCTGAACATCCACTGTGTTACCCAGGCCCATTCGATGGGAGTCCACATTCACATTCTCCCCCATAATCCATGATAGAGAACGCGATGTTGTAGCGAAACAAGCGGTTTCCTTGCTATGAAAATTACCAGTCCAACTGAACGATTTACCGCAGAGTCCCAACCCAAGACTCATTAATCGGATTAGTTGGCTGATTATTAGCTCGTGCTGTTTGTTTATTTGACTCCAAATCAGCTCTTATACCATTCGGAACCCGATTAGTCCGCACGCGATTGGGGCATTACGCGGTTAAGGGCACTGTTGAGCTTTCGCATTAAGATGTATTTCGGAAATTTTGCCCATTGTCGATGAAATATCGACTTTACATGGCACGAACAAGCCGACCGGCCGGTCTACAACAGATTTTTGAGGACTTTCGACCCCCATTTCTAGGCGAGCGACCGCTAAACAGGCAGAGTAATGGGGAAAAACTCGGAAAAACCGCTTTAACATTTCTGATGAGTTTTTCTGGGCTCGGGGGGATTTGTTGATAATTCGCTTTTTGTAGTCGGATGATGAATTCCTTTTGGGGCCGCCGAATGGAAACGGCCCGGCGCAGCCAATCCGAATCGTCTGCATAGATTTGAATTGCTGATAGTAAGTCGTTGCGAAAGGCTGCACAATCCATGGGAAAACAGTGGCAAACCGAATGTGAATGTGAAAAAGCGCCATAATTTGATCATAAAACTGGGGGAGACTAATTCAGTTCCGCCGCGCAATAGTTTTCTTTGGTAATGGGCAATTTCCAATCAGTCCACTGGCCGCGCAATTTCAATTCGAAATTTAAAAACTCGGCGATTTAAATTGCGTTCACATCGCATGGAATGTAAGTTTTTCAATCTACCGTCCAATTTATTGTCGTCAATTACAAGCTCAAACATTTCGATTTTGAAAAGCCACGGCTCGATTCACTGCCGATCATCCACACTCAACTAAAACTAATTGAAATTTAATTAAGGTTCTGGCGCAGTCAGTAGGATCTTTTATAAGAACAGTTAGCTCAATAAATATAGCCATTGGTTGCAGTTTCCTCTAAAGAAAACCTAATAATGTATTTAAATTTTGAATCCTTATGTAGAATGCAATTACTTTTTTATATAAAATTAGAAGCAGAAAAAGTTTTTCAGTTACTCGGCTTTAACGACGAACATTCGCATTTTCATGGAGTTGATAAAACGAAAATGAGCTCACACTTGCCAACAAATGTAGCAAAAAAAGCTCACCCAAGCAAAAGCCCACAAGTTTGCCCTTGTATTTTTTTATTTGGTCACGTTCGTTCAGTTCATTTGCGCCAATTGGCTTGAGAGTGTAAACCCACCTTAAGTCGCAAGAATTAAAGAAACCTTAATGAAATCGGCGTTGCAGTCGATAGTAGGCCTGGGTAAGACTGTGTTGAGTTGCGCTATTGAGTTAACGAGTTATAACTAATCGGTTCATGAGTGATTTATTAAAACTTTACTAGACCCAAGGCTTGAATTTTTAAATCTAAAAAGGGGTCATTAACGTTTTTTCTGAGTAACGTTTTACTACTTTGTTCAAACAACTAAAAGTAGTCAAAATTTTCTTAGCAACAGCACTAAGTCCAAAAAAAGTGGACGAGTTTTCTTGTAAAATTGATCTTTTAATTTTTTTGCATAAAAGATTCAGTTTGACAGTGTTTTACAGTAAAACGTTAGGAAAAACGCGGTTTTTCTGTTTAGAGACAGTGTTGTTGGGAAATATTGATCTAAAAGTGAAGAAACTGCAGTTTCCAAAAGTTTTCCAAATAAACTTCCGCTTTTTCAGTGCGGGGAAATATTTTTGGAAAAATGCATAGAAATAATTATTAGGATTTTGTCCATAATAAAGCTGCAAAAAGTTTTCCAAAAATGTTTGCAAAGCGGTTAAGGAGGCGAGTGTTCCAATAAAATGTATCTTATAATTTCTCACAGAAAATGCCTGCAGATTGTCAGTATTTTAAGTAAAACTAAAAAATAATGCGATTTTTGCTTAGAAAGAATTGCTTAACAGAAACTTTGTCAAAACTGTAATGACCTGAAAATTTAAAGGAACTTTAAAAATCTTCAGAGCTGTGGGGGCGGCGAATTTTTATAATAATGTTTTGTAAACTTTTGCTCTCTGGTCGTCTTTTCAAGATAATCCTAATTACTTTCGGTAAAAAAGTGAATAAAATTATTTGGTTTTGGTGCAAATTTGAAGCTGAAATGGGTTTTCTAAAGTTCTTCTGCAAACGGATGAATGACGCGAATTTTCTAACAAATTTAATTTCGTCATTTTTAGCACAAAATATCCCATTATTGTCAGAAAAGGAGAAACTTATCAGAAAATAATGGTTTTTTGCGTTTTCAATTAAAAACTTTTAGTTTTGTGATCGGTTTTGGAGAAAACCTTAACGGTTTTCGGGGAAAACGGGAGGATTTTATTTTTGTTTTTGTCCCAAATTGGACGCTGGTAAAAGTTTTTGTAAAATTTTTACAATACTTTGAATTTATCTTGTAATTTTTCGCGTAAAATACCTCCAGATCGTCAGAACTTTTTTTTGAGTAGAAAGTAAAGGAACAAAAATCAGTCAAAACTAAAATACCACATTTTTTTAACAAACTCTACAGTCTTCAGAGGTATGGAGGTGACAAAATTTCCGAATAATCTGTTATAAAGTTTTGCTTATTCTGTTCGTTTTTTGACAGAAAATTATATGATTTTTGTTCCAAATTGGAAGCTGGAAAGGGATTTCAAAACTTTTTACAAAGCGACGAACGATTCAAGCCTTATTTCATAATTTTTCGCGGAAAATGCCTTAAGATAATTGAGCATTTAGAAGAAAGAGCAACTTGCCTGAAACTGTAAAATTCTGAAATTTTGAAGAATTTTAAAAATATTAACAGATGATCCTTAAACAACTCTAAAAACAAGAAAAAAAAGTCATCAAAATTTTCCCAGCAACGGAACTGAGCTCTTCATACCTTCAAAAATGCATTCAAACTACATGAAATCCTGAACTTGAAAATTAACGCTTTTAGGCAATGAATCGTTTAAAAGCAGTCAGTAGAAACATGAAAAATTGAGATTCTAAAGAAGACGTTATTTTTAAATAATTACGAACTCTGTGGCTCACATTGTTCTTGAGCAACGTTAAAAAAGGCGGCGTCATATTTGAGTTGATTTACAATAAAAAAACGGTCGAAACTAAAACTGGTGACTTTGTTTTAACCAAAAAACATCAATCTGGAACCCAAGCCGACGCCCCATCCTCCCTTCTCTACCCATCGATACTCAAACTACACTGTCACAAACTACCGCATTTGCCATTAGGGCCACAAAAACGCGATTCAGACGACACAAAAGGTTATCGACCGACTTCGTCCACTGTCAGTATCAAACTTAATATGCATACACCTTTTCGATTAAAAAAACACTGAAGTACAGAATAAACATGACTATTCTGGAAGGAATCAGTTATCAACTAACAGGAATCTGTTAACAACTTTGGCTTATTCTGTTCGTTTTCTGATGGAAAATTATTTGATTTTTGTTCCAAATTCGATGCTGGAAAGGGATTTCCAAACTTTTTGCAAAGCGACGAAAGATACGAAGTTTATTTCGTAATTTTTCGCGGAAAATACCTTAAGATTGTCAGCATTTTTAAGTGAAAATTGAGCATTTAGAGGACAGAGTAACTTGGCTAAAACTGGAAAATTCTGAAATGTTGAAGAAATTTTAAAAATATTACCCAGTCCTAGTCGATAGCACGTTAAAACTGCGGCATTTGAGCGATATTTTTCAAAACGTTTTAGTTCGCAGTGTTGATTTATCTGCTTGTTCAACAGGAAACAATAAAGTGACTCGTAAATTTGCTGCTGCATAAGACGCATTGCTCGAGCGGCTGGTGAATATTTAAAGCGGCCCAGGGCAGCGTTTTGGCCAAACAGCAAACTGGGTGGATTGCAAATATTTGGCTGTATAGCCTGACCTGACCAACAGCAACCCATTCTTTGCAGAAACAATTAAAAGGCACCGACGTTCGGGCTAAGCTGGCCAATAAATTCTAATAATAGACCAAGTAAACAGCCCCGTCTCTCACGATAGCCGAGTGTAAATTAGCAATGTTTATTTTCCAATGGCATATTTACGACTCCGTGACGTGACCTCTCCCTAATCAATTCGCACAAGGGTGCAGGCGGAAATGGCCCTAATTTGTTTTGCAAAATGTCGACCGCTAACACCTATTTGTGCTCGAGCTGGGCTTGCCCTTGTACGGGAAAAAACCGTAAAAACTCAAATCTTACTACCGCCGTTCGCCAGCCAGTTCGTGATGCGAATGGCTGGGCTATTTAACCAGCAAATAAAAGTTTCCCGATTGAATTGCCCGGGAAAAACTAGTTCGTAAGTGTATTACCCGAAGAAACCCACCAGCCCTTGCGGCTATCTGCTCGAAAAATCGCACGCCAAGGCAAATCGACGCCCTCCAAATTGCTGCCCGTGATTAACACTGTATTAAGGCGCAATGCAGGCGGGAAATTTGGGTTTCGGCCTTCAGCCGAACTCAGTTCAAACAGCAGTAATGGTCGCTTGCAAACCCCCCCAAAAGTTCGCGGATTTACCTGAATATTTTCTCGGAAACATGTTGCAGCTGGTTGTTGTTGAAGACCAGCGCCTGTATTTCGCAGGAGTTCAACGTGTCGGCCTCCAGGCTGGGAATCATAGAGTCGAGCACTTCGATGCGATCGATCTGCTTCACCGGCATCACTGCAACAAATTATTTAAGTGAGGGCCAAAGACAGATTTAAACCGGTCAGAACCACTTGAATTTCAATTGGGTTTTCAATTGTCTATCCAACGACGCCAAAACGAATTATCTGGTACAAATGGGGCCTGAGAGACTGCCAAAAAAGCTTCGAATGGGGATTGAGAAATTTCGAAAAAAGCAGCGTCATGTTTGAGTCGATTTTGCCACTCAAAAAAAAACACGCGAATTTAATGCTTCTGAAATCAAGTCTTTTTTGAGAAAACTGCCAACATTTTCTTATCGATGGTTCACTTTCTTAAAAGGCCATTTAGTTGGCTCTGGAATGATGTAAAAATGAGCGTTTTTGCTCATTTTCCTGCCGATAAATGAGCAAAAGCCAGTATTTAATAAATTAATGGCTTGACGGATACATTCCTCATGAACAAAAAAACGCAAAAACGTGACGGAAAATATGAAATTTTGGCCCAATCTTGTACCTAAGTCTCTGATATTCAAATTTCGTTTTGTGGGTCAAAACTACTCGAATTTCCTCACTCATGTGGTTATTACTGAATCGAATTTTCAATTTTGTATTCGACGATGCCAAAACGAACTCTAAGGCTCAAATCGGGCTTCAGAAACTTCGAAAAAAGTAGCATCATGTTTGAGTCGATTACATTACAATTACAAAATGACACCAATCTTAAAGAACGCACCTACAACTAAGCATTAACACCATTATTGAACTTTTAACAATATGTGTAAAGTCAACTTACTTTCAATACATGACAATTTTTATCAACAAAATTTTGGAATGGCTATGGGGTCACCACTATCCCCATTTTTCAGTAATTTATGGAAAATTTTGAATCAACTTTTATTAATAATTAAAAAATTTAAACCAATAATTTGGTGGCGTTGTATTGATGACGTATTCTCCATTTACAGTCATGGCGAACAAAAACTTGATGAATTTTTATCTTATCTGAATAATAAAGAACCAGCAATTAAATTCACTATTGAAAAAGAACAAAATCACCAAATTCGTTTTCTCGATATACTAATTCAAAAAAATTTAGACAATTTCGAAACTTTGGTCTATAGAAAACCTACTCATACTAACGGATATTTGAATTTCGACTCAAATCACCCGCTAATGGCCAAGAAAGGTATCGTAAAAAGTCTATATGATAGAGCAAAAATAATTTGTAATCAATCTAATTTTTCCAAAGAAAAACCATTTATAAAAGAAATTCTAAATTTCAATAATTATCCAAATTCTTTTATTGAAAAATGTTTTAACGAAATTGAATTATCACGAACAAAATCAAGATAAACCTATTACAAACCTTTTCATTCCATTTATTCCAGGACTTTCAAATCAAATTAAACGAGTAGGTAAAAAAATTAATATTAGGACGATCTTCAAAACTGAAAATACAATTAGAAGTAAAATTTCAGTAACAAAACCTCATGATATAATTGAAAATACAAAAAATGTAATTTATAAAATTCCTTGCGAATGCAATATTTATATAGGAGAATCCTCAAGACCATTACACAAAAGACTCAAAGAACACCAATCATACATAAACAACAGAGAATATCATACATCACACATTTGTCAAAACATGCATTTGATAATTGCCATAAAATTCAATGGAATAATTCCACAATTTTAACAAAAGAACAATCCACAAAAAAACGTAAAATTGAAGAAAGCGCACTCATTTTACTAAATCAAAATAATTGTGTTGCTTCATGTTCATTTAATTTAAGTCATACATGGTTACCTATGCTAAAATCTGAAGTA